AATAGGCTATTCTGGGTGCCTTGCAATTCCTTGTGACTTTTAGGATCATAATTTCACTTCAAAAATGCTGTCAGGGGCTGGGGATGTGGCTTAGTGGTAGCGTGCTTGCCTAGCATGCGTGGGGCACTGGGTTCAATTCTCAGCATCACATTGAAAAATAAATAAATAAAATAAAATAAAGATATTGTGCCCACCTAAAACTAAAATAAATATATAAATATATATATATATATATATATATATATATATATATATATATATATATATATATATATATTTAAAGAAAATGCTGTCAGGCCGCACAATGATAGGCCCAGTACCCTTCTATTGTCAACACTTGTGCATTACATGTCTGTTATCCCAGCCACTCCGGAGGCTGAGTCAGGAGGGTTGCAAATTCAAGGACAGCCTCAGTAATCTTAGGCCTCATTTCAAAATTTAGATTTAAAAAAAAGTGCAGGAATGCAGAGATGACTGAGCCCAGGTGTGTTCCACCACTGAGCTACATGCTTAGCCTTTTTTATTTTGAGACAGCGTCATCACTGAGTTGCTGAAACTGGCCTCAAACTTGTGATCTTCCTGCCTTAGCCTCACAAGTTGCTGGGATTATAGGCATGCTCCATCGTGCCTGGCTTCAAAATAATTAAAAGGTGGGAGCCTGGGGATGTAGCTCCAAAAAAAAAAAAAAGGAAACTTTGGGGTTCTGAAAAGGTTGTGATAATGCAGTCTTGTTGAGAATGTCATTACCTGGCGGTGTTAACGAGTCTCTGAGCATAGCCATGGGCTGTCTCTGGTTATTTCAGCAAAGTATTGTGGTTTTCCCATTTTTCTTTATGGAAGTGTTTTTTTATCTCCCTTTTCGGTTGTTCATTGCTGTAGTATAGAAAAACAGCTGATGTTTGTGTGTGATCTTGGACCCTGCGACTTCACTGAATTCATTTACAAGCTGTAGTATTTGGTTTGTGTGGATGCTTGTTTATGTTCATTCACATTTTCTAAAATATAAGATTGCATCATCTTCCAAAAGAGACAGTTTACTTCCTCTCCCATTTGTTTTGGATTTGTTTTTTTTTTGAGCCTGGGCCCCCTTGGGCTGGCCCGGGCCTCCTGGGCTTTAGCCACCTCCTGCCTCAGCTCCCTGTTGCTGCCCTGCTCCTTGCCAGGGTCTTCCTCCACCTCCCCCAGGCTCTGGCCGGAATGCAGCCCACAGGAGCAGGGGTGGGAACATGCAGGCCGCCCTGTCTCTGTGTGGACCCCACTGTGCCACCGTCTCTCTCTGTGTGGACCCCACTGTGCCACCATCTCTCCGGGTGGATCTCACTGTGCCAGGACATCTCCTGTTCCTGTCCATGGGGGTCTCCACCTGAGAGAGTGCTGAGTCCTGCCACATGCTTTTCTCCTGATGGACACAGCAGTTGTGTGAACCACCCTCATGTTCTTGGGTAGACTGCATTTGGCCACCGAGTGTGCCCTGGTGACCTGCCGCTGTGTTGGCCTGCTGGGGCCGTGGAGGTGTCCCACTTGTGTTCTTGAAGGGCACTGGGCTGTCCTCTGCCCGTGTGGTATCGCTGCCTCAGTCGCTCCCTTCCCTCCTGTGTGTGGACGGTGTCAGTTCTGCATGTTTGGCAAAGGGCTGGGCCAGGCCAGGGTGGATCACTGCTAGCACATGTGGCCCTGGTTCTACCCGAGACCAAACAACAGAGCAGCAGCATCAAGCCACTGCCAGGCTCCCAGGGTTGGCCACCTGATCCAGGCCTTACTGCTTAGGGGCTTCTGTCAGTCGGTCACTTTACTTCTTCATGGGTCAGGCATAGAGTCTACCCGTTTTTGCCATTGAGGACAGTCTGGCATTTGAAGCCTGAGAACCTTTTATTCAGCTGTTTGACGTCTGCCAGTGACTCAGGAGCACCTGAGATCCTCCACATGCCCTGGGGTTTGAGCTCCCATGAGACCATTTTGATTTTGTCCTCCTGTGGTCTCTGCTTCGTTCTGTCACCTCAGTACTTAGAGATTGTTAGGCACTCATTTTCAACACCAGCCCTACATAAAGTCAGTGTTTCAGTTATTCATACTGAAAATTCAGTAGATGTGACCTGGCTTTCTTCTGCTTGGCACAGGCCACAGCACTTGCAAACGCCTCCACCTGTGGGACAGCAGATTGCGCAGGGGGACCCCATGGAGGTCCTGCCCAGCAGCTCTTCCTGATCAGAGTTGCCCCCTTCCCGCCCACCCCACCCCCCACCTTGCTGCGCTGCTCCTGGCAGTTTGGAGCCCACCGTGTAGGCCTGCATGCCCAGGGCCTGCGTTCAGGCGCACAGCCTGTCCACCTGGAGCTGGAGGAGAGTGCAGCCCAGGCCCAGCTCCCAGGCCTGTGCAGACCTGAGCCTTCTAGCTCTCCCTAGAGGTCTGTTGGGACCCTGGCCCTTTGGCCTCTGCCTGGGGGGAAAGGGGTGGGAGAAGGCTGTCAACCTGCTGCAAGCCCCAGGGATCTTGCAGGTGGCTCCAGCCTTGTCCTGGAGTTATTGTGGCACAGTGGTCTCTTCTTGAGCTGAAACATCCTGTCCCTGAGTTACATGCTACATTTCAGCCCCAGGGGGAAGGTGTGGTCCTGCTCCCTCTGCCCACACCCCTGCCCCTTGTGGTGGGTTGGGGCTGGTGCTACACCCAAGCTGCATTATGAGACCCACCAGCTCTTGTGCCAACGCCCCAGGAGGAGAGCCCTGCATGACCAGCATGGCAGTCAGCCTGGGTGTCTGTGGATGCTGCCCAGGTAGGGGCACCTCCACCAGGTTTTGGGAGAGGCAGGCCTGTGGCCAGGCCACCCCCGCCCTGCCCCTCGATGTCCTATTCCTGGCTGCCTGGATTGCACATGGTGCTGGTTCCGTCTTTGAAGATAGACCTACACGCTGGCATTTATTTGCTGTCCAAAATCGGTATTCAAAGAGCTGCTTGGGTCATGTTGTTAGGGGGTCCATGAGTGCACATTTGCATGTGGTAGATCACTGGCTAGCATGCCTTTACCTTTTTGTACTTTGGTTGATGGTTTTGCTGAGCTGGTGTCACATCATCCTAGGTGCAGATGGCTATTGTGTTCCTGAGACCATGAGTTCTGGCCAGGTGTGAGCCACAGTCTATTGGCCAGGTCAACACCAGGCTTGCCACTGCTTTGGACAAGGTGTCTTCAAACAGATGGGTGCAAGACTAGAGAACCTGTTAATTGATGTGATGAACCCTGTGGCTAGAGGTGCCACAGCAGGTGTGTGCATCTGCCCTGAAGCTGTCACGGCTCCAGTGGACTCTGTCCTGCAGGCTGTTAGGGGACTGTCCTGGGTGCCTTTTCTGCCCTGGGGCAGTGAGTTAGACCTCTAGTCCAACTCAGATGGGAAGGTGGGTCTTGTGCGCGTGTGCTGCTCCTCTGGGCACAGCACAGCCCTGCCCCTGGTGACTTGGTGGATTGTCCCAGCAACAGCACTGTTCCTGAGCCCGACAACAGCGCTGACCGACAGGTGGGGCCCCTTAGAAAACCTGCAGGTGCTGCAGCGGAGGCCTACAGGGCAGGCACAGGCCAGTGGGAGGCAGTGTTTATCCTGCTTTGGATCGGCCCTTGTATGTCTTTGGCATGGGGGGCAGTGTCTGGGGAGGGGGCTCCTGGCTGGGTCCTGGGCGGGGTTGGGACTTCCTGGCTGGGTCCTGGGTGGGGCGGGGCCAGGACCTCCTGGGCGGGGCTGGGGGCGGGGCCGGGGTTTCCTGGCTCGGTCTGGGGCAGGGTGGGGCCTGGGGCAGGGCGGGGCGGGGCCTCCTGGCTGGGTCCGGGGCGGGGCGGGGGGCGGGGCGGGGGCGGGGCGGGGCCTCCTGGCTGGGGCTCTGACGCGCTGCTCCTTTCAGCCTCGGCGAGCCCTCTGCACATGCTGGCGACCCACGCGTCGGCATCGGCGTCCCTGCCCACAAAGCGCCAGAATGGTGACCAGGCGGAGCAGCCGGAGCTGAAGCGGATCAAGACGGAAGATGGCGAGAGCTTCGTCATCGCCCTGAGTGTGGATGCGCCACCAGCAGCCGTGAGGGAAAAGGGCGTCCAGAACTAGCGGCGGGAGCCGTCCTCGCCCGCAACTCCGCGGTGCCAAAGGAGGCGCCGCCCGCGCCCGGCCGACCCGGACCCACCCGACCCGGCGGCCTTAACACTCCGGGCTGCGGCCGCGAGCCAGCCCCGTGAGGACCAGCGGACTTGGCGGCCTCCGTGTCCTGTGGCCGCCCGCGCCGCGCCGAGCGGTGAACTGGACCCGCCTGCGCCGCCGTGTCCCTCCCTCCCGTCGACTCTGTCCCCGCGTCACTGTCCCTCCTCCGTGAAGACAGCGGGAGAGGCCAGCGGGAGGCCGCCGCCGCCCGTGAATGTCCAGCGTCATCACCATAACATTATTTATTTAAATGTAGTTATTTTGGTATTTAATTTTTTTTAAAGAGGAAGAGAACCTGTATTTTCCTGGTGGGATGAAATGGCAGAAGGTGTTTCCAGGCAACTCGACGTCATCCACACGAAGACCAAACCAGCGGCGCCCCGCGCGGGGGACGGCCGCCGGGCGGTGAAGGTGGACGGGCCGCCGGGCCTTCGGGAGGTGGCTCCGCCTCTGCTCCAGGACTGAGGAAGGGCCCCTGCACGGCCGCCCTCGGCCTCCCGCCCACTGCCCCCCGCTGCCCAGCAGCTCCGCAGCCTCCCGCTCTGCAGAAGTCTCTGGCCTCTGCCAACCTCCAGCTCCCTCAGGGACTGCAGCCTGCAGCAGCTCTGCCCTGAGCCACACGGCGCAGGCGAGCCCCGGCCCCGGATCACAGCAGTGAAGGCAGCAGTGTCCCACGTGGGCCTGCTGTGCTGGGCGCCCCGGAGGGGAGGGACAGTCTCTTAAGTAAGTCCAGACTTCTGTCCTAGGAAGTAGAGTGGTGATCTGTGTGCAAAGATTGAAATTTTTAAAAAGTACCAAGTTCCTAAAATTCAATAAAATATTTTTATTAATTTTAGTTGAATGGTGCATCGTCTTCTTGTGGAAGCACCAGAGGTGCGGCTGGCAGGCCTCTGGCCCTGGGGTGGCACTGTGCTGCTGTGGCTGCTGCAGGCAGCCTCAGCCTGGGGAAGGCCGGCACTGGTCTGCAGCCCATCGAGCAGGTCAGCCTTCCTGAAGGTGCTGGTGCTGCCCACCTGCCACATGCTGTCGGTCACTGGAGTCTGGGCACACATCACACTCTGGGCTCCCCTGGAACAGGGTTCCTGGAAGGTGCAAGGTTCAGGTTGGTACAGTTCCACCAGGCAAATAGGACAGTCCATCGTCCTGCCCAGGGGTCCTGTGCTTACTATGGGGCAGCCCCCACTTTCAAGACACTAGGACCAGTGATTGCTGCCCTCCCTGCCTGGCCTCTAGGGACATGCTGTTCAGGGACCCGGTACACAAGGCGGGAGTAGGCCTTGGGACAGTGCCGCTGCAGCTGTGGGGCCTGTGGAGATGGCAGGGGAGCCCAGCAGACAGGAAGACTGGGCCAGACATTAAAGCCACGAGCAGCAGTGGAGGGGTGGAGGGCTCCTGGGCAGGCAGCAGACTGTGACCTGCACAGCCCTTTACTGGGACCAGGAGTGGGAAAGCGGGGCACAGGGCCCAAGGAGCAGAGTTCCTCCACGCTCCCCATCTTCCTCTTCTGTCTACTCTGGCCCCAAGCAGGACCCAGTCTCAGGAGTGGGAAGACACAGGGAGGTCAAGACCTGAGCCTCTGGCCTGGAAGACTGATGGTGGCCAGGGTGAAGGCCAGTCAGAGTGATGCCAGGAGCCACCACAGCAAAACACCCCAGGGGCCCGGGCAGGTGGGCACAGGAAGAACCACAGCAGGACTCCACAGAGTGGAGCTGCCTGCCAAAAACCACGTCTCCAGGCTGCACACAGGGCCTCCAGGGTACCAGATGCAGCCAGAATCTCAGTTCCACAGGGAAAACAGGACAGCTGCAGCTCGACCCAGACGTTGCAAGGCCAAAAAACACAATAGACAAACTGATCACACTCCATTAAGCCAGTGCTCTAGAAGTGGGTCAGAAGCCACAGAACTTGAGAACAACAATTGGATGGAAAAGCTCAGTTGGTAGAGTGCTGGCCTCACATGCACAAGGCCCTGGGTTCAATCCCCAGCACCAACAAAGAAGAAAAAAAAAGTGAAAATACAAGTGATCGTGCTGCAGGGACCTGGGTGTCTGTCATGTGCCATAGATCCCAAGCAAAAGGAGAAGGATGTGGCCGCACCTGTCATCCCTGCAGCTGAGGAGGCTGAGGCAGGAGGATACAAGTTCAAGGCCAGCCTCAGAAACTTAGTGAGACCCTGTTTCAAAATTGAGAAAGGGCTGGGGATGTTGCTCAGTGGTTTAAGCACCTCTGGGTTCAATCCCAGTACCCTCCACACAAAGTAAAAACAATTTTTAAAAGACCAAAATTCACAAAACTCAGTGAACCCCAGAGAGGATGAAACCAAAGATCCCAGGCCTCGATGCTGAAGCACAGATGAAAAGCTCCACCTTGAAAGCAGCCAGAAACTTTCTCGGGCCCTGGGGCAAAGGTTCCCCGAGACCAGGGCGCCCAGGGCGAAGGAAGCTGCCTGAGGACTGAATGTTGGGACGCAGGACACAGGTGGAGCGAAGGCACTTGAAGGACAGTCCCCAGCAGGGAGCTGTGCCACCAGGGGTGCCACTGGAGCCCTGCAGAGGCCCCAAGCCCAACTGGAAGCGAGGACACAGGAGGTGACTGGGCAGATAGGACAGCCTAGTTTTTCCTCTTAATTTCTTCAGAGCATGTGACCTTCAGAGCAGGCCTAGCAGTCAGTCCTCCAGGGCTCCCGGTCTTCGCTGCAGTGTGTCCTTGCACAGTGCCTTCAGAGACCAGACCCCAGGTGGAGACCTCATGGGTGGAGACCTCATGGGTGTCTTCAGTCCTCTGGGGTCTGGCGCCAGGCAGCACCTCTGCATGACCTGTCATGGCACAGGAGCAGCACCCGCAGCCAGGCACGAGCCACCTGGGAGAGCAGCCTCAATCCTGCCAGCCCGTCTGCTTGGTGAGTCCTGTCTTGAGGTGAAGAGGGCGAGGAGGCAATGCTTGTAATGTCTGAGGGTCAGTGTCCAGCGTGGCCCAGCATGTCTCAGCACCATTCACTGCAGAGCCACAGCCGCACGCCACCAGAGGAGGACAAGTGTGGTCACCATGTCAGGGGTGCTGTTCAGCACAGGAGGAACGAGGCCGTGGTGCCCCACGCAAAGACCCTCAGCACCATGACACGTGGACACAATGTGCGGGTGGTCTCACTGGGGCATTCACAGCAGTAGGGGCCCTGAGCCAGCTAGGGAGGCCCAGGAGGAGGCTGCTGGGGGCCAAGTCTGGAGGGGCCAAGGCTCTCTCAGGGTTTTGAAGCCACCAGGCAGCTCTTTCTGAACATGCATGTTGGGATGGTCTCTGTGTCCCCTTAAGCAACTGAGGGGATGCTCTAGGTGTCTGGGACACAGGGTCACTGAGGAAAGCAACAGGTCCAGAAGTGAAGGTACCTCTCATGTCACTCTCGTGCTCACACAACAGACCTCAGGACCTGGGGACTAGCAATGGCTACACAGGGGATGGCAGCCGGATGTGAGAGGTGCCTGCCAGGCTGGGCTGGTGGGCTGGACCATTCCCAGAGATGCTCTGACCAGGCCCTGGTACCTGTGAAATGGACTGTAGCTGTCACCAGGTTGGGCTGAAGTCACAGGGAGAAGGGAGGGCCCCAACCATGTGTCTTCCTAAGAGGACCTTTAAGTCAGCACCCCTCTGGACACTGGATAGGCCTACAGCAGACTTCTAGCAGGCAGGGCCCACTGCCGTCTGTAAAGGGAGACCTACAAGCTGGGCGTGGCAGCACATGCCTGTGATCCCAGGGCCCAGGAGGCCATTGCCCACAACCTCACCCACCATCATTCCACCATCACCCACCAACATCCACCTCAGCCACCATCATTCCACCATCACCCACCTCCCACCCACCTCACCCACCATCACCCACCTCACCCACCATCATGTGCCTTCCACCCACTGGATTCCTACCCCTGCTCAATTGCTGAACTACATCTCCAGCTCTTTTTATTTTTTATTGTGAATCAGGGTCTCACTAAGTTGCCCAAGCTGACCTCAAATTTGTGATCCCCCTTTCTCAGGCTTCTGGTTTATAGGTGTGCACCAGTGTGCCTGGCTCAAAATAAGCATTTTAAGATTGAGGTAATTCCTTCTTTGAAGATAGAAAAGCCCCCTTTTTTTTTTGGCCTTGCGGGGGATTGGACCCAGGGCCTGTGCATGCGAGGCAAGCACTCTACCTACTGAGCTGTACCCCTAGCCCCTGATGTTAGAAGAGCAATTTGCTCTTGGTCTTCAGCTTTTAAAATAAAAACTAAATTCTGTTCAAATCAGTGATCTGACCTAATCAACTGTCAATCCACCCATCATCCAATGAGGTGGCCTAATCACAAAGCTGACCTCATCAGGGCTCTCCCTCCTTCCTGCTGGGCCAGGGCTTCTGTGGTCACAAGTTCCGATAGGAACAAACAGCCAGCTCAGTGGAGCCTCTCATGGTGACATTGGTGTGAACTCCGAGCAGGAAATGGCAGCGAGAATCTGAGCCTTTGTGCAGACTGGGAAATAGAAGCCCAAGAGCACTGGCTCTTTGGGGGGGGGGGGGTCACACCCACTGCGGAGGTTTCTAGGACGTCTGCTTCCCAGTGTCTGGCCGACCCTCCCCTTCACCTGCCCCAGAGGCTCAGGTTCTGCCAGAGCCCAGCTCAGCAGGGGGATGCAGGTCAGGCACCTACTGGTGACCCCACAAGCTTCTGCGGTCCACAGGTGGCATCTCCCTTGGCACTGCCAGGCACCTGTACCAAGCACACCTCTGCCCCTACGATGCAGCGCACGTCTGCATCTGGAGGAGGCTGCATGCAGCAGACGTCCTTGAACCAGTGCCCACAGCACAGAAGCACAGACCTGAACTCCAGTGCCCAGCATGAACTACACCCATGTGCAGGCGCCCAGAGCCCCAAAGCCAGGTGGTGCCCACACCCACAGAACATGGGGAACAGGCCATCGCCACCCAGCCTGGGCCCAACAGGCTGCCCCAGCGTCCTCTGTGCCAGCCCTGCCCTTCATACCACAGGCCACTGCCCAGCCATGCACATTCCTCAGCAGCTCACAAGGCAGCCAGGCCAAGGAACCATCTGCTGTGTCCACGCCACAACTGGAGTCACAGATGTGCCACAAGACAGGCACCAGTGGCCGTCAGTAGACGAGTACGACTGACACGTGTACGAGAAACGCTCAAGGTCAAGCATCCCCGAGCACCAGGACCAGTGTAAGCCACATGTGGCTTCGAGAGGCAGGGCACAGGCTTTGCGGGTGGTGGACCTACACCAGGGTACCAACAGCAGGTGGCGTGCATCACAGTGTTCTGTAGCCAGAGTGTGGAGCCTGCCTTTCCTGGGGCAGCTGGGGTAGGAGCATGAGTCGTCCAGGGGACTTCCAGTCCGATGAGGCCCCCACAATCGAGGCAGAGCCAGCCACATACTCCAGGTCCCTCCTGTCCAGCAGAACACAGGAAACGGGAAAGGAGGTGTGGCGTCTTCCCACCTCAAAGCGGCTGGGTGTCAGAAGGGTGCAGCGTGGACAGGCCCTGCCAACCTCTGGACTGACCCCAGGGGCGAGCTCAGCCCCCAAGGCACCTGACAGCTGACCATCCCCACATTTCCAGGGTTTTGAGCTGCTGTTCTAGATGAAAGGCCACCTGACAGCAACAGCTGCCGTCTGGTCCCACCAAGGCTTCTGGAGCAGCCCGTATTCCCCAGGCAGCCCCACCCACTGCCACTGGCTCTCAGTTCTTTCACACAGAAAAAACGGCTCGGCCCCTGGTCCCAGCAAAGGTATCTGGAGGATGGGTCAGGGCTCCAGGTGAGGAGGTGGCAAATGCATACTGAACTCAAAGCCCTCAGGCCCAGCAATTCCAGTCCCTTTGCTCCAAAGACATAACCAGACTGGCCTGGGAGGCTGTCTGTGTGGCCTGTCTGTTTCTACATCGTCTGGTGCAGCACAAGGCACCAACACGCACATCGCTCACGGTCTGAGACATCAGGAAGTAGGACCCAGTGCTGCCTGGGATTTGGCAGCGGTGCAACGTCCTCTGCTCCATCTGCTCTTCTCTGCTCCACAGGGATCTTGGTTGTTCATTTGTGGTTCTTTCCGATCCATTGAAGAGATTTGGGTACAAGCTCCAAGATGTGGCAATCAAATGCCTCTTGAAGGGAGCTGCAGAATGGGGAGGGCCATCCTGTACCGGAGCTTGGTTTGGCTACAGAAAGGAAACACCAGTGACAACCTCTGGCCACGGGAGGCTGCAAGAGCCCACGCCATGGCCAAAGTGGAGGGAGGGTGGGAGGCAGAGGCCAGGGTCCACAAGGCTGCCACACACAGCAGGGTGCTCTGCACGTACCCTTCCACAGCATGGGGGCCCTGGGTTTCTGGGAAGGGCTGAGGACCAGGGATGCTGAGGACAGCCACACCTGAAAGAAGGAAGAGGGAGCACAGGCTTTTGGAATCCCTGAGGACTGTATCTTGGTCGGGGCCCAGTACAGGAGATGCTTGATGGAGGCTGGAGGTGGCCCAACAGTGTGCAGACCTCTGCTGCTCTGAGCAAATCCATGGAGCTTCAACAGACCGAGGTGCAGGGACACTAACTCCTAGAGGACAAGCACGTGTAGTACTGAACCCTTCCAGGCCTTGCCTGCCATCCAGGGAGACGGGAGAAAGGGACCAAGTGCCAGGACACATCTGAGCCCCTTGCAAGGCTGAGCCGACACCGTCTCACGCTGAGGGAGCAACTGGGACTGCAGGAGACCAGCCCAGCTACCACAGCCTCAGTGGTCAGGGCCTTCAGGGCTAGCCAGCCACGTCCTCAATGCCAGTAGCACCTGCTGTGTCCCCACCACACAGCACAGCCTGTCCAGCTTCTGCAGTGCCCCAACAGCAGGTCTGCAGCCCACCCCGCTCCCATCCAGTGAGAAAACACCATAAGCAATCTGCTTTAACTTCAACACCCTAGACTGCATCTGAGGAAGTGGCCACCACAACTCCTCCTGCCTTGCCCAGTAAAACAGGCTCCACACTCTGCACCAGCATGGCCCTGGACAGCAGCCTTGGTGCCTCTGAAAGGGAGGCCACAGCAGGCCCCATGGGGATAGAGGTGCAGAAGAATGGGCATTACTGTCCCCGCCTGTGCTCTCCAAGGTAGGACTGATGATGCTCCTGTAGCACTTGGCCTCTGCCCATGAACTCTTAGGGGCCATGCACACACCGCAGGTGGGCAGGGTGGTCCAGAGACACCCCCCTCCCCAGAGAGGGTTGCTAACCCTAACCCTAACCAGAAGAGGATGCAGGATTCCCCAGTGCACTGCTCCATGCTGTAGAGGTGGAGTACGACAAAATTAGTCACTTTTATTTAATGAAACAGTACAAATATGTGTGCAAAATTAAAGTTCATGATTAAATACACACAGGTAACATGCATACTTGACATGGAACTCACAGACAGCAGACCACACAACAGCAAAGGAAAACGGCAAAACTGAGAACTTGCCACTACACAGATTTTAAAAGTTTGCAACCTGAAATGAAAATCACAGAAGAAAGCTTCTCTAACAGGAATTTAAGAAAATTAAACATGTAGCTCAACAGCATGGACAATGTGGAGCCCATGACCTAGTGCAGTCACCAAGTGTTAAAAATGGCAAGAGCCTTCGGCTCCCAGAAGGTTAGTGTGCAGCTACTCACAAGTGCTGGGGAGGGAGGGTGGTGGAGAGGGAAGTGGGCAGGAGAGGCAGAGGCATCTCCCTCCACGCCGGGCAGGACCGGCAGGGCCGCTGCCCACAGCAGTGGCGCTCTCCTCCATGACCAACCTTCAGACACTGTTCGCTGCTCTGTACCCATAGATGGTGGGGAAGCGCTGCAGCACCCCCATAAGGACAGGGCTCTGGTGGGTGGACACAACTCTGTGCTGGAGGGTAGTGTTAGCCTCGTCCTAATGGCTCCAACAGGGTGGGGACAGCCACTTGAGGCCCAGAGCAGGCTGTGCTCCCAAGAGACACGTGTCCAGGTGCCAGGACTGCAGGTGTGGGCTCCAGGTGGTGTTGCACTGCTGACTTCTTCACTTGTCTGCTTCTCCGAAAAAACAGTGGGTTTGTGGCAGGAACAAACCTCCATGTGCCCATCCTTGGCAGCCCTGTCCCTAGGCTGGGATGGAGCCCACCAGTACAGGATGTGCTGGAGCTACTAGCTAAGGTGGCAGCTGAGCTAAAGGGTAGTGGCTGGCGGGCAAGCAGGGGCTGCCCAGAGCCACCGAGTGTCCAGGTGTGGTGATGAGCATTCTCTTGAAGTTGGGTAATGGGAGACCTTTCTCAGGAAGGCAGAGAACCACATATGGCTTCGAGACTGAGGTCCTGGGCAATCCCTCCAGCCCCGTTCCCATGAGGCTCTGGGGCACTGGCACCAGCCCCAGGAGACCGGGGACGCTGGGCGGCAAGCACAGCCTGCTCACGGTGAAGTCACAGTTTGTCATCGGTCATTTCCAGGAACTGCGCATACACGTCCCGGATGCACTCGCCCTTGGGGTTGAACAGGAACTTGTAGTAGCTGCCGTCGGCACAGATTGCTAGGACAGAAGAAGACCCTTTCACTTACAGCCCCTCCCAGGAGTGGAGAGCAGCAGCAGGCTGAGCCCTGGCTATTCTGGACACATGCCTGTCCCCTGCTGCTGCAGGACAAGGGCTGTGGGTGAGCTCCTGGGAAAACCTCGGGCAACCCCGCAGAAGGAAAAGGGGCTCCAGGCCCTGGAGCTGCCTCCCCCAGGAAGGGCCACTTACCAATGACCGCATTCGGCTCTGTTCCAAAGGCACAAATGCATGGAGAGCCTGAGGGGACCTGAAACTTGGAGAAACTCCATTTGGAACTGAAGTATTTGGGAAGGAAACTGGCTGATGCCAAACTGCAAGGACAAGGAGAAGACAGAGGGGCGGTCGCATTACTAGGTGAAGCGATGCAGAAGGGCTGCCAGCTTTCCAGAAGGCTGCCAACAGTACCCAGACCCTCTCCCTGGCACAGTTTTGGACCCACACTTCTTTAAATTCTATTTTCTTTAACAAAATCTCTGAGCCCTTAGAAATGGTCTTATAATAAAACTAGATGCCCTTGGTATGAAAGGCACAGACTCTGTTTCGGTCAAATTAACCTGAAGAGTGCCATCACAATGCTCAGGACAAGGGCCTAAGCCAGCGCCAGGCTGGCACAGGGCCAAGGGCAGCTTTGGACATGGCCTCATAAACCCCAAGGAGATGGTGAGGTGATATCCCCCAGCTCTGTGCACACTCCAGCCCTTAACTCCAGGCCCCCCTGCAGCCTTCCCCTAACCCACCTGGACTGTTTATTCCGCTTTGGGTCTTCAGCTGCAAAAATGTGCACTGTGCCATGGTCACTGGACACACAGATGAGAGAAGCATCCTGATTGAAGTTGATGCTATGAAGGAAAACGGACAAAGCTGGATTTCTGAAGATGCAGGAAAGACCAGAGACCCCACCTGCACAGCATGCTTGCTGGCCTGCACCCCAGAGACCTCGATATCCCTACCCCTGAGGTGCCTGTCTGTAGGCCAATGGCTTTCACCATGGAACCTGATCGAGAGGGTCAAAGCCCCAGTGCCAGGGAGGGCCAGGGCTGGCCTGGCATGGAGACAGTCTGCCCCTGGGGGACAGTGTCAGGCACCAGGCAGGCACTGGCCACATGGCCTGCCCTGAGAGCAGGCAGATAGGAGAGGCTCCTATACCCAGCACCAGACCCCGTGGTGCCGGGGGCAGCCCAGGTCAGGCTAACAGGTGCAGTGACCCGAGCCCCTGCCGGGAAACACGCAGGAACCACTGGAGCAGAGGCAAGGGTTCCATTTTTGTGCACACCTCCCACAATAAAAAGCTGAAAGATCTGGAACCCAACACCCTCAAAGCCCACAGCCCACGCCTCTGCCCAGGCAGGCCCAGCCCGCTCTCCTGCAGGCAAGGAGCCAGCGTCCTCTCCTCACCAGTAGATGTTAGCTGCTTGGGATCCTCTTCGCAGCTCCTGGATCAGGTGCCCTGATGAAGTATCAAATATTCTTATAAGGGTCCCCTTTGAAAAACAGCGAAGTGTTTCATTATCAACAATTCACAGGTCCAGTTAGTTTCTGAAATGATAGTTCACAAGCCCACACACCCCTCTCCCAAATCCTCCCATGAGGCCCACAACTGTCTGTCCCTCTACCTGTGGCTTGCTGAGAACAGGCTGGTGGTTCTGGGTCCCAAGCAGCAGGGAAGATCAGGACAAGGCTCTGGAGATTGGCCCACACACCCCTTCCCCCCGGCCAATCCCACAGAAATGCCAGCCAGGGCGTCCCCACTGCTCCCAGACCCACACAGTCACTCCCACAGGCAACAGAAAAGTGGCTACTTGACCCACTGAGTGGAGCCACAGAAGGGAAGGCCCTTCCCCAGAGAGACAGCACCCAGACCTGGACGACAAGAAAAGACGGGCCACAGAGGAGGAGGACGGTGTCCGTGCATTCATGCCATGTCATGTGCTACCGATGTAACACTTGGAAGAGTGACATGTGAAATCGACAGGGCCTATCCTGGCGCATGTGGTCTTACCCCAGGCTCCAGCCACGGCAGCATTTGCCACGTGACCAGGGTGGAACAGAGCCACGCACTGACCCGCAGATGGACAGTCACTGGTTCATGCTCTCACCCATTAACAGCTTCCAACTCCTAAAGATGAACCTACACTTGCAGTTTTAGATGAAAACTGGAATAAAAAGGTATGGATCTTCTCTTCAAAAACTCTGAATTAACAAGCTAAAGGAAGTGTAAGAACCTAGATTTTAAATTATTTAAAAAATTAAGTACCTGTTCATAATAGGCAAGCTGAGGAATCACACAGTCAACACTCTAAAATGTTGGTGGTGGTATTCACTAAGGACACCTTCTTAGGCAGGTGGGAAAAGGGGTCCTAGGCAGTCACCAGGTTGCCAAGGCCTCGCACAGAAACTGAGTGGCTCTGGGAGGCTGTGCCACTAACACTGATACTGAGCCCAATAATAAGAAATGGGGGGCTGGGGATGTGGCTCAGGCGGTAGCGCACTCGCCTGGCATGCGTGCGGCCCGGGTTCGATCCTCAGCACCACATACCAACAAAGATGTTGTGCCCGCCGATAACTAAAAAATAAATATTGAAAAAATTCTCTCTCTCCTCTCTTTAAAAAAAAGAAAAAAGAAATGGGGTGGGTGTGGCTGTTTTATTGTGTGGGGGTGGTGCAACTACTATTGAGTAGAATCCCCAAGCCTCTTTAAGATGGGGTCCCACTAATTGCCGCAGGCTGGCCTGGAACTTGGGATCCCCTTGCCTCAGCCTCCAGAGTTGCTGGGATTGGTGTCGTGGCCACCATGCCTGGCAGGATTGTTGTTTAAGTATTTTTATTGTGTTTTCAACATTTGGAGGATGTGTGAAGTCACAGCCTCAGCCCCGTCACATGACAAGACCAGTCCGGGAAGGGCCACTTGGGCAGCTGGCAGAGGAGGGTTCTGCAGAGGCTGCCGCTCCATAAGCACCACCAACAAGGAGACCCACACACTTACTTTTTCAGACGCAGTTGCGATTCTTGTGCCCTGCAGGTTGAGAGCAATGCAACTCAGGATGCCCTCATGTGCGGGGATGTCCACAGGTGGCTTCTCAGTGCTGGCCAGGTCCACGAGCTGCACATGGCCAGTGTGGGTGCCAGGGAAGGCCAGGAGGGAGTTATTACTGTTGGGACACAGGACGCAGAGGCCTAATGGAGACAGAAAAAAACATCAAGAGATGACAACCAGCCAAAGCCTGACTTCTCACAGCCAAAACCTACTTTCCAAAACCTTGGGGAAAAACAAGAGCTCTGCACGGGTTCTTCAAGGGCACACTCCTACAGATGGCTGGCTAACAGGCATCAGGGTCAAAAGCACCCCCATAAGGTAATCATGTGCTCCACAGTTCATTAAGGCATGCACCCTGCCCCGCTGGTCTTGTGCAGGGCCACCTCGTGAGAATGCAAAACAAAGGCACAAGAGGAGGCATGAACAATGGCAGGGGAGCCCACACGCAGCAGAGGCTTCAGACCCCGTGGGAGATCCATATCACCAGCCCCTGACCCCAACTAAAGGCCCATGCCAGCACCGCACAGCGGAGCCTCCGCAGACATGCTGACATGGACAGTTGCAAGGAAACTTGCTGCCCAGAGCAGCCAAAGCTTCTTTTCCTCAGACAGCACTGAGGCCAGAGGATTGCTACCTATGTCAAGACTTGCTTTAAAGCTCAGGAAATGGAGGAAGAGTGGTACTGGCACAGGACAGAAGCACAGGCTGCTGGAAGGAGAGAGCGCCCAGTGCTGGGGAGCCCAGGGCATGAGCCTGCCTGCGCAGCACAGCAAGACCCCACAGCAAAAAACACCCAGGGAAACTTGAGCATCGTAAAGACGTGAGGTGACACCGTGAGCAGTCTACTCTGCACGATGACCTCTGATGCAGAAGGAAAGGAAGGGAAGGCTGAGGCCAGCACTCCAAGGACAGGTTAGAAGTCGGCTCTGGCTGAGAGCTGATGCCAGCAGAAGGGCACAGAACCACTCCCTACTCACCTCGCACGTAGAGCCTCACCTTTAGGGTTATAGCAGGTTTCAAAGACGTGCAGCTGGTGGGGATTGTGCGTGAAGGTGAACACCTTAATCATGGAGTCCAGGACCACCACGATCCTGCAAGATACACGCACTCAGACCCTCTCCTCAGAAAGGGAGACGGGCATCTTGTGATTTCTGAAACTCAAACACTGGATGTGTCGCGGGAGAGGCCCGGGCTGCAGCCCCCAACGTGGTGCCCAGAAGTCAGCAATAAAGGCCACACTCCACTGAGCAGCCCCTTCACCTGGCAGAGCCTGGCCTCCAAGGTGTCCTTACCCACACCTCACCCAGGGCAAGAGTCTCTCGCCCATCCTGACTGACAATCAGGAAAATCTCGAAAGGGGAAAGGTCCTTGAGCCAATCAAGCATTTCGTTGTGAAGGGCTTTTAAATAGTGACCTTACTAGAAATAACCAGCCCAAATGGAATGCAGGTCACCACCCCTGTCCTGCAAACCACGCAGTGCGCTGGTCACATGGAGCCAAGACAAGTGCAAAGGAAGCTCCGTACCACCTGGGCGGAGGGCAGGCCCTCTGCAGCACAGCAAGTGAGAGTCCAACCCCAGAGCTCCCAGGGCTCCTCCACCCTCCACCAGGAACATACTTCAGAGGCACCCTGTGAGGCTGTAGCTCTGACTGCCCAGGGGGGCAGGTCCTAAAGGTCACTGTCCCCAAGGCCAGAAGCCAGTCCGTTCCCCACCTTCCCCCAGGAACACAAGTGACTCTTCTGGTACACTTGCTGGGCACCAACAGCAGCTATCGCTTCTTCACTGCATCCTTCCCTAAACATTTCCCTCCCTGGACAGAAAAGTGCCTTAGCCACCTGCTTGAAAGTGTTTGGGAACCCACCGGTCTCGCCGCAGCTTGACAGCCTTGACCTCGGTGGAGAACTCTATCTCAATGACAGTCTTCTTCTTCAGGTCGTCCCAGATCATCACTGAAACCAGAAGGACAAGGGCCCCTGGTGGGCAGGCCCCCCACCCTGCCCTCCCCCAGCCAGCACTTGGCCCTGGGACTTGCCCCAGACCCTGCTGCTCCCCACCCCTTCCTCTTGCAGTACACACTCTGCCAGCCCTTCCTGCCTGGTCACCTCAGGCAGACACCACCTCCCTGGCTCCACTGCCTGAGCCAAAAAGCACACCTGATCACAGCAGCTGAGTGCAAAAGTGCTGAGGAAGAGTAGGGGGCAGGAGAGGGAGAGAGGACACTGAATGCTACAGTGCTGAGACAGCCCCTGAGAGGGAGGGAGAGAAGGGCACAGGAGAGGGGCTTCTGTAATCCCAGCAACTTGGGAGGCTGAGGCAGGAGGATCACAAGTTCAAGGCAACACAGCAAGACCTTGTCTCAAAATAAAAAGGGTTGGGGGAGATATCTGCCTAGCATGAGTGAGGCCCTGGATTTGATCCCTCTTAGAAAGTGAGGAGGAAGGAACAAGAGAGGAAGGAGGGAGAGGTGGGGGAGAAAGGGGAAGGGAAGGTTTCTGTTTCATAGAGAAGCAAGACTGTTCATCCTTTGGGGTGCCCTGCTCTTCTCCAGGGCAGAACTTCTTGGGACTGAGCCTGCTCACACGTACCCGCTGCTGGCAGCCACTCTGCACAGGACTTCAGCCCAACAGAGCATCACCTTAAACCGGGGAGTCCGTCCAACAGCCTTTGGGCCAAGACACATTCTTTCACTCTTTTTCCTACCAGCAACCCCTTTCCATTTTATTTCTCTTTTCCTAATTCCCAAACAAAAGCAAAAGGCTCAGGGCTAACCTCCGCAGTGCAGATTCCACTCCTGCTGAGGACAGAGAGCCTGTGCGGGACATGATGGCAGTCACTAAGGACCCCACCCTGTCCACACAGCCCTTCTTTTGTTTTTCTTCCTTTTGGTGCTGGGGTTGGAACCCATGGCCTTGCTAACATCAAGCATATACTCTACCCCTGAGCTGCACGCCAGCCCCAATATCCCTCTCTCTGCTCTTCCAACAGGACTAGGCTACCCTCAGTGTCAGGGTCACAGCCAGACCCCAGCTCACCCACTCCTTGGTGGGGCACCAATGCTCTGTCCCTCCCAATTGCTCCTCTTTCCTGCCTCCCTCACCACCCTCTCCCTCTGGAAGAGGTCACCACTGGTTCCACCCCACAGTCCCGTGATGCCACCACTGGACCTTCCTGCTACCAGATAAGTGGCCTTCCCTGGCCCATGCTGCCTGCTCTGCTGATACTGGTCAGAGCTGCACCTGCTTCCCTCTCCCCACCTGCTGTGAAGGGTGGCCCCTGGCCTGCAGTGTCTCCCCAGCCCACTTCCCACACTGCTTCTAGACGAGGTCTTGCTCCACACAGACTGTGTGGTGCCTCATTCCAGGCCCTGTGGCCCATCCTCTCTACCCTGTACCTCAACCTCCTTTCTGGGCCTCATTCTCCTTAAGACCTCTTTCTCCACCCAGAGCAAGAAAAGTTGGCTTATGGGCAGTGTCCACAGTGGTGGAGGGCAAAGTTCTCCACGCCTCCATCCAAAAAGGGCCAGACCTCCCCATGCAGCCCCTTCCACAGTGCTGCACACATGCCCAGAGCCACATACGTGCCCAGGCACACATGCCTCTGCTCCTCCGTGGCTGTGGAAGGGGAGTGCTGCTCACACTCTGGTTCACGATGAACCCATGACACTCCTGGCACCAACCCAGGATGCAACACACCTCCACCTGCCCCAGCACTGAGGGCAGTCCTCCACACCACCATTCCTTCTAGAGGCTCGTCCAGCCTCACAGGACCACCAGGGAATGCCAAACAGGCCCCGGACCACAGACTGCAGCGCTGTGCACAGAGAGAGCGCTTAAGGGGCTAACGACCTTACCTTTGTTAGGAGGGTATTTTGGCTTTTTTCCACCACCAACTAAAGCTAAATAGTTGCAGCGAAATAACATTTCCACGTGGCCAACTCCTCCTTCTAAAAATTCTGAAATGACAATTTCAAGAAGACAATTGTAGTAAATTAATGTGTATTTTACAATTAAAACAGTTAAAGTCAAGCCTTATAAAGCTCAGCATTTCATTTTCAGGTAGCAGTTCACACCCAAACACGTCACACACAAGAAATGTGACGGCGAGGAGCCAGAGTAGGCATCTGGCTCTGTCCAGCCCGTGGCACACCCACAACCACATCTCAAGATGCCAGAGAGCTCTCAGAGAGTAGCCTCCACCCATCCACCCCACTAGGCCCCAAGTTCTCAACTGCTCATGAATTACATCGAACACTTGACTTCCGGGTGTCCCTGAAAACCCACGGCAGGGTGCCCAAGGCTCTCAGGGAAGCAACCTGGGAGCACAGGTGAGGACTGCCCGCCCGACTCTCAGGTCGATACCATGACCTGGAGCTCAAGACAGCACAGACAAGCCGAGAAAGCGGGAAACCAAAACATGGGAAGTCAGGGTGTCAACCTACTCAGACTTCCCTCTCCAGTCTCAGGTACACAGGGAGTTGAGAGCACTTTGCTCACTCCAGGAGATTTACACCTGAGGCCGGGCAGCATCCTAGCAGAACCAAACAGCGCTGCCCATGGTGCAGACAACTTTCCACATAGACAAGTGACCAGTCATCTGACATGTTAGGCAACCTCAGAGTAACTCTGGCTTTAACAGGAGGTGGCCACGGTGCCCACCCAAGTGGTTACAGCAGCTCTTCCTCCTCTGGGCCAGGAGTGGTCCTGACCTGTGAAAGCCTGCAGTTCCTTCCCTGCAGGAGGGACACAACCCTCCTCCTTAAGTTAGCTCACCACACAACAGGAAGCGGGGCTGCCAGCTGGTGTGCAGTTCCACCTGTGCACGCCTATAGGGATGCCCAAGGGCTACAGCCAGAACTGAGGAAGGGCTCCTGATGCCCTCTGCAGCTCAGAGGCTATACACGCAAAGGGGAGGACAACCGGGACTTTCCCCACACTACACACACACGTGCACTCAAAAACGCAGTGAAGACCTACAGGAAAGACCCCAAGCTATGATTCTCCTGTAGAAGAGAATTTGGCAATGATTTCCTGGCTCTGACACCAGAAATAAGACAGATGGGACAACATCCAACTTAGTATTTGCAGATCATTTATCTATAAGAGGTTAATACTCAGAATACATGAATGCCGCACTCTGGCTGGGCACAAAATCACGAGCCACTCAAGCAGGAACAAACTTTATTTCTGAACTCCACCAGCACACTCCACACACGCTCCCGGGAAAACTGCCGAACCCCACTCCACTTGGCTCCTCCTGGGGACACACTCCTCCAACCAGGCTCCAAGCGCCAATTCTCTCAGAACCCCTGGAGAACTCAATGGGAACTCCAAAGTAGATCCGCCCTAATCCCTGAGCAGGGTCACCTTTCAACCATTCCCTCTGGCTAAAATGCCAGGCCTCATTCTGACTAAACTGTGGCTCTTAACATCTCCTCCCTTCTGTTTAATTAAACAACAAGCATGTGGCTTAGGGACCGGGCCTGTCTTAGGTTGTCCAATACTACATATGGTCCTTACCCATCATCGAATGAGCTGACCTCAAGGCGTCAGCCTCCTGTCTTGGGTTGGTACCACTGTAATTGGATCTTACCCGTCATTGGCTACCGGTCCAGCAGACAGCCATACTTGTGGATAGGCCTTTGCACCAGTGGGGGGGTGAGGTTCTCTGCCTCACCTCTGTTGGCCCCCAAATTTGGCCTTGGTGTTAAGAGCCACAGTTTAGTCAGAATGAGGCCTGGTATTTTTGCCAGAGGGAATGGTTGAAAGGTGACCCTGCTCAGGGATTAGGGAGTATCCTGCTGGGATTAGGGCATATCCTGCTGCCTCAGGCGCCCCCTACTTTGGAGTTCCCATTGAGTTCTTGCAGGGCTCTGAGAGAACTGGCGAGCCTGGAGCCCAGTTGGAGGAGTGTGTCCCGGGAGGAGCCGCGTGGGGGAAGGAGCTGCGTGGGGTTCGGCAGTTTTCCCGGGAGCGTGTGTGGAGTGTGCTGGTGGAGTTCAGAAATAAAGTTTGTTCCTGCTTGAGTGGCTCGTGATTTTGTGCCCAGCCAGACTGCGGCATTTGGTGGCCCGTACGGGGAGCCCCGGGACACTCGGGGGGGTAAGTGACGGAAAAAAAAAAAAAAAGCTGCCCGTCCATAGATAGGACAGGAGCAAATCTGCTCGTCCCTAGACAGGGCAAGAGAAAAAAATGGCCATTTAGAGAAAATGGAGAAGATTGATACAGTATGTTTGTGTCTTGTTTTGTCTTGGTGTATTGTATTGTCGTTGTGAGGAAAATATGGAAGGGGTGAGAAGTAAATTACTAAGGGAAGAAGGCACACCAATGGAACCAAGAGCAATTAGGGCATGTGTTGATAAAAGCCCAGGAACTCTAGTCAGAAAGAAAAAGGAAGTTCAAAAGAAGAAGGATTATCAGGAAAAAAGTTGTAGCAAAAGGCTATTACTAAATACTTTTCGTTACTGGAGGGTGTGTGAATCAGTGCGGCACCTGCCATGGGCGCGAGCCGGTCATAGCGCAGCAAGGACTTTCCAAGTGGCAGCAGCCAGCTCCTCCCTGCCCCTCGCCTGGGTAACGGATGCCACTGGGAGAGCCCAAATCCAAACCTGACCCAGAGGCACAGTCTCGCAGGCTCTTGCTCCCTGTGCCCAGTGGCAGTTTGAGTCCGGGACACTCCCCGGACTCTCCCCAGGGCCATCTGGGGCCGCCCAGGATGCTGCAGGTGGAAGATGGCCCATCCCTGAAGTTTGATCATTTCCAAGGCCAGTAACTACAATGGTTCTCCCACACCTGGAAGCTAATGAGTAATGAGCACTATTAAGGCTTATTTCAAATGTGAAAAACCTTGAGATAATGTACTAAATTGTTCAGAAGGTTGTTTTCTTAGTGGGATGGTACAGGATTTTCTTTAGCCAGCATTGCTGGAGTTCCTGCCTTCGTCCCAGTGCCGTGAGGACGAGGGTGAAAGAATTTCCAGTGATGCTGAGAACCTGACGAGACTTCAGATCAAGCTAGCTGCCTGTAGAACTTACCTGGACTGTGATTTAAGCTAGCTGCCTGCAGAATTTACGTGGACTGTGAGTCAATCTATTGAGATACTGCTTTACCTGGACTAAGACAACTAACTGTAATCTACAACAAATTGTAACTCGATATCTTTGCAAACGGTGTCATTGCTGGTATAATTTTTCCAAGGGCTTCTTGCATGGAGCCATCAATTAGCTTGGTATTGTGGCATTTTGTATCCTCCCCTTCTGCTTGTAGCAGATTATTTATGGTGTTTGTGTAAAAACCACTATGGTCGTTATTTAAATTAAACAAAAGGGGGAAATGTTAGAGTCTATAAACAAGTCAAGATGGCACCTGGCATTTTGCAGAGGGAGTGGTTTGTGAAGTAACGCCAGCGAGCCATTAAGTGTGGAGATTCCTTATTGGTTGACTGATGTATCTAGTTTATGTTAA